GGTTAAGAGTAGGAACGTAACATTTGCAATTAAGGGATTGTTATGTGAACAAACCAGTGAAAATGTTAAGTGAAACATAAAATGAATACTTGTACCTATCTCTGGTGTTTGTGAAACTGTAGTTTCTTCAGTTTCTGATTACATTTTCCCCCTTTGTAAACTAGCCTCATGTTCAAGAATCTTACAATATGATTTAAACCACAGAAGAAGTAAAAATACTGGTAAACAAGAAAATAACTAAAATCAGAAAGATTTAAAGGTTCTATTTGAGGTCCATTTTCTATTCTTCTATTTTGAAGAGATGTGAATCTAAAATTAGTTATATCGTGACTGTACCTATCAGTAAGAATCACCAGTGTGACAGAAGGAATTCTGTTTAGTTCCTAAGGCAATTACAGGAATCGTTGTCTGAGAAATGTCAGCCTTAGAAGGAGCTAGCATAAACTGAGATGAACTCTGGCTTCCAAGTTATTTTCCTTGGAAATAGATACTGTTTTTCAATAAATTTGTCTCAGTTACCACTGCTTTATTATTTTAGAAAGCCCCATACAAGTTTCCACGGGAACTATGGACAAGAAAGAATGGTTTGAGTGTGACATTAATTTGAATATGATAATACTACACTAGAATGAAAGTATTTTTTGAGCAGAAAGGAGCTGTGCTATGAAAAATGTTGGTAAATATCCGCCCTGGAAATATTTAAGAGGAGCTGTGAAATTTCTTCTACAAAGATCTTCCTTACTGAGCATCATAAAGCTGATCATCACCTGTATGAATTAGTCCTCCACTTTTCCCCTCAATATTAGCCCTACTGTCACAAAAACATTGAATAATTGGAGTGTCTCCTTTGTACTATATCCTACTCTGGTGGATAACCTCTGTTATGAGGAAGGAAAGATTAAATGGACATTCTCCAAATTATTTGTCACACATTTCAAGTCTTTAATTATTATTAAAAATTATTATTATTAATTATAAATAAGTTAATTTATCAAGTACAGGTATGTGTTATATACAGTACAGGCTGTGTTATGTCATGAAAAAAGCACTTGAAATGTATCTGTTAATAGAGAGAACAGTCATATTCAAGAACTCTGGGAAATGAAATATCTTCATCATGGCAAATTGCTTGGTAAATCTTTGAAACAACACATAGAAACATCCTCCTACTAGCATATCATTTAAGGTACTTAAAAATGGCAAGTCAAACTTCACAAGAAAACTATGTTTGCAGTATTACTTTCTTCTCTTCTTCAAAATATCCACACTTCTAACCTTTCTAGGAAAATTAGCATTCTGACAAAGGAGATTATTTCAGAAGATGAAAAGATAAAAGAGAACACGTTTCTGGCTTCTTTCCACACTTTTTATCTTCAAGATTTCCACTTCATCCATGTATCAAACTGTTTTTAATTGCATATAAGAGGGGGACATGAACTGTAATAAATTAGTTTCTTGTTACGTGTCACACTGTCATAGAATCACAGAATCATAAACCATAGGATAATTTGTGTTGGAAGGAACCTTAGAGATTATCTGTTCCCCTGCCATCAATTCCCCTGCCACACGCAGAGACACCTTTCAGTAGCCCAGGTTTCCCAAGTCCCCATCACAGCTGCCGTTGAACACTTCCAAAGAAATACAGTGTTGTGTGCTGATCCTTTGTTTTGTTATTCATACTAGCTAAAATGCCTTGTGACTTCAGTACTACAGCTTCCTCTAGGAAAGGAAAGAAACAAAGAAATCCATCAGGTTGACTGAGCAATAAATAGTACAGGAGCCAGCGAAGAAATGGAGGCATGTCTTTTGTGTAATGATGGTACAAACATTTCTGACATTGATTACAATGGAAACATTTATTGTGCAATGTTAGAAAATTTATTAGCAGGGAACGTACCAATATTCATTAGTGTTTTCCACATCCTGCACTATGAGACTGCTCAGCATGAGAAAGATTAAATAGCTTTGCTAAATATATTGGGTCAACGTAGTTGACAGCACTAAATATCGTGAGATGTGGCAGAAACGTCGCTGTTTCAACAACAGCTTACACACTTTATTCAGCAAATTCTTATGTAAAGGAACAAAAACTTTATGAAGTCAAAAGCTACAGCATGTGCAATCAAAATATACACGACTGTTTAATTCAACAAGTGATGTAAAAAGAGAGAACAATGAAAAGGAGTGAAAATGAAATAAAAGTTTAGTCTTCAAGATCTGCCCCCAAATATTACTAAATTACTAATTTTCAACCAGATTCAACAGTCTTCATCACACAACTCCAATTGAAGTTACGATCTTTAAATTTGTTCCGCAGCTGGTAAGTGCCCGAGCACACAAACAGCTAATTGCATTTGTCTGTACAGTGCTATTAACATTCCTCAGCAATGATAAACATTCCTGGGTTTAAAATCTTTGAAAAAAAAAAAAAAATCACATTGAATGTTGTGTCCTACAGCTTTCGTAAAAGGTTGCCGTAATACCTTCACCACCAATCTTAAGCAGATTCCTTTCTTTACCCCCTTTCTTGTAACAAGACATTCCTTCAGACATTAACTTGGTTATTCTGTTAGTTGATGAAACACAGTGTACTCTTATTCTGTCTTCTGTTTACCACAGTATAAATGGAACTTGTTATTGCTTTTCCATATCTGTAAATACTGCTCTCATACCTTTTTTAATAGTCCCCTATTACTGTAATTAAGAATACAATGTTTGCACCATCCCAAAAAGTGTTATGTGTTATAGAGAAAAAAGCTAGCTGTTCTTTGATAGCAACAGAAAAAATAATATTCTTCATTTAAACTCAGTTTGGTTTACAAGGGTATTAACACACTGAAACTGACATTATTAATATGTAGCTTTAATTAAAAAGCTACAGAAAGGAAGTTCATTTTAGGTTGCAGAAACATAGTATTTGTGCAGAAACTGATTATTTAAGCCAGAAATTAATGAAATGTGAAACTGATTATGACATATTCTCTTCAGTGTCTGCAAATTACTAAATCTATTAGAGAAGTCAAAGTATTACTCACAATGGATATACAGAGACTACAATAGTTTCCCAATGACAGGAGATTCTTTAGTAAAAAAAAAAATGTTTCTAATATTCCATGTACAGCAAAGACATCAGAAGATAACCAGCATTTGTAGCAGATATCCTTGTTGATTATTCTATTGGTTTATAGGCAGAAAGTCCTAACCAAAGTCTGAGTACATGAAAGAGCAGAGGTTAGAAACCCATGAATCATGTACCACTGACAGTATTTTCTTCCTAGTTTTGCTTTGCAGCTGAGTTTCACTGCTGAACAGATCCATGTGCTTTGACATCGCAGTGACTGAAAACTAGACACGATTAAGAGAATTGGGGATTGAGCTGCTTGTAGGTAACTTTTCCATCATCTGTGCACCTTGCACTAAGAGATGAAGAGTCTAAATGAGCTATATATGCCTAAGTCTATTAAACAAAGCAAAATTGAAAACAGAAGTAAGTCTCAAGAGTTTTGGTCACGTACATGCTTCCTTCCAATTCTGACAGCAGCATTAGTGGATACTTTTCTATCTGTTCTCTCTGCTGAGGTTTCCAGTCTTAGCTTTCCTTTTGTGCATTTTGTTGTCTGATTTACTTGATGCTTTGCTACATGACACATTCCATCCACACTCACTGAATGTGGCAGACATGCTCAGACATTTGGCAGTGTTTGAAAATATTATTCTTGCTCTGAAATCAATGCAAGAAGTTGAGTGTGGGTAAATGTAAGTAAGCTGATAATTGAAGATGAAAAATGATAAATAGAAATGCTATTTTTAAATTTTTTAAAAAATTCAACTAGTATAAGATTCTCTGTGTCTTTGAGACAAAATGTAAGATTATTTTTTCAAGACTAATCTTGGTAAGTCTGTTCTTCTCAAGGATAGGATGAATCCTAGTTCAAGAAGCTGTATTTTAGGAAGAAAAGATGGCAACAACTTGGGGCTTTGCTGTGCAGCATCTTCAAACATCCCAGAAAACTGAATTTGATTTTTAACAGAATTATATTACTTTAACATCATCTGCAAGAATTATTTGCCTTTCAAGCAAAGCTCTAGGAAGCATGTAATACATGTAGAGCAGAGTTAACTGGAGATCCTGTTAATCATGTATTTAGCATCTGTGTTTTTAGGACAACAAATGACTTTTGCTCATCATTTGTGATGCTTGAGGATTCATGACAATGAAAAGGCTATAAACAAATTTAAGATAATATTACCATCTGAAACTCTGTCAGATTTAATAGGTGGAAGGAGATAAACTGAGTTAGAGTGTGCCACCTTGTGATTTGAATCCTGGAAAATAATAGATTCCATAGGCTGCCCTATGTCCAAGGTGTCTATTCAGCTTTATTCAAGATATCTTATAAGGTGGAAAAACAAATCATGCTGTGTGGTAAATGTTGAGTCCCAGCCTGAATCACTAATTGAATACCTGGCAAAGGACCCAGTCAGTCCTGGGATCACAGGCTGCCTGGCTGTACCTCTTTTAGACCTCATTTAAAGGCTATCTGAGAGTGGGGAAGGATGTCTTTCTGGAGATCCCTTCCTTGTGGGGTTTTCCTTGTGAGCCTAGATTGTCAGGGCTGGGTGAGCACCTTCCCTTTGTAACACCTGTCCATCATGCTAGTCCTTTTGCTACTACATCTCCTATACTGCTATTCAATTGTGTTGATCTTTCTGACTGTTACACGTGGTAAATTAAACATACATGTTTTTCAGAATATACTGCTTTCTAAAATGAGGAAAATGAAAGAATTACATTATGGATACACAATTGCCTTGAAAGATATTGGAATTCTGGTCTTTAATAAATGAAGAACCACTCCAGAATGAAATTTCTATAATGAAAATTTCAAATGCTATATATCTGTACTTGCATAAACTATATCAGTTTTGTGGAGAACTATATAATCAATTAAAGCTTGTAATTAACTCAGCAAGCAAAGAATTGAAGCAGCTGTACTTACTATGTCAGCACAATAGCTACAGCATCATTTAGGACGCTCTCTCCAAATAGAAGTGTGTACAAATCTGTATCCACGTGCAGCTCATTGAAAATAGCAAGGACTGTCACTGTATGGAGACAAAACAGTGGGTTTCTTATTTTTGTATTCCTCTGGCATTTCAAGAAATAAAGCAAGTGTTAGTATATGGGTTTGGGAAAGTCTTGTCTGATTTATTACCTGAAGGGTTAATAACTTAAAAGAGATCAGCAAAGGTATATATAATATCCTTAAATCTAGTAATTCTATGTATTCTGCCTCTCCAGCTAATTAGGAAAATACTTTCTTACACAACGAATGATGCATAATTCAGAACGTCACAGCATACTTTACTGTGCAAAAGGGCCTAGGTGCTGTTGACAGAGAGTAACAAGGATGCTGAAAATACTTAAGGTTTTGCCATTGGTTTTTTGGATGATGAGAGTAGTGATTTGCATACTTTAAGATGCTTATGGTAACATTTATCCACCTGTAATGTGTATTTATGGAGAAACTCAAAGGAAAAAATAACCTTGTATCCTGTCCTACTAAAAATACAACCACTTTTACTTGAAGTGCAGCACACTCATAGTCTGGAAGCTTCCTCATCCAGATTAGGATTGATACTTACAAGCCATTTTAAAGTCCCTTCAATCAATTTAGGCTTCTTTCATTTAGAAATGTTAATCATTTAAACACACATTTGTAAGATTATTTAGATACTTTTTTCATATTTGGTATCTATGTCCTATAAATTTTAAAGGACACTTAAGTTACTTTATTTCAGTCTTTTAACCTGTAGACAGGTGATCACAACCCCTTCATAGACTTACCTAGCACTGCAGAATCTCTAAATGGAGAAAAACAAACAAATAAACAAACAAACAAAAAACCAATACAAAACCCTGGATATTCTGTGAGCATGTGTATTCAGATTTTTGCTTATTTAGGCAACGCTGTTTTAATGTGCTAAATGGGGATCTAATTAAGTCTCCCATTCTCTGATGTCATTAGTGTAGCAACAGACCTATTCTCTAAAACACTTTGCCTCTTCCAGCTTTTGCTCATTAGTTAATTGCTTACATTAATAGTTCCTCCAGAAATGATAGAAGGAAAAAAAAATAGTGCTTGAAGTCTAGCTTATTGTTGGTATTTAAGTATAGCAGGCCAAGTAAATTAGATTTCTACACATTTCTCTCTTTCCTCTTACCTCCCACAAAACCAGCGCATTTTCTTGTTTCAAAGAAGCACGTTCTTATTCACTCCCAACTCTACTCCAAAAATCTAATTACAGATCATTTCGAATGATAGCAAAAGAAGAATACTTTTATAAACCCATTTTCCCTTTTTTTGCCATATATTGGTCTCAATTACTCGTTTTCAGATTATAAACTTAAAATTCTTTTTGCTAGTAAATGATTTCTTATCTTCCATTGATTATTCCTAAATATAGAATTTTAATGTTGATTTCAAACTATTGCAAGAATCATTTTGAGTTCTAATTTTGAGTTATAATTCTTACATTTCAAAGTGTTTTGTCTCCTCTCAGCATAGTATTGTACCTTAAAGAAGCATCCTCTGCTGCATCACCGAATTCATTAATGAAAACAATAAATATTATATGCAAAAGAACAAAGAACTGCAGAATCTTTAGCACACCCACACCACTTAAGAATTCAGTAGAACATTTTCACCTTGTTTTGCCAGACATCATCTAGTCATTTACTCAACATCACATCTGACTGATTTGTGAATGAGAATCTACAAACATACTTCAGAGTGGGCATGTTAATACTCAATAATGAAAAAAAGTTAATTTAAATTGCTCTCTAGGTACAATAAGATCCTATCTATGAATTATCTGTGAGTGGTCGTTGTCTAAAACACTCATATGCTTTGATGGATGACTTGAAAATTCTCGAGACAATGAATTTAAAACTTGAGTATTTGCCTTTATATACAACAGTAGCATATTTAATCTGTGAGAACTCTCATACATAAGTAAAGCAGTCTTTAAATACTACATCGCATTAAATGTGGCCTCCTTGGCTTTCTGAAATATCAGCAAATTTCAACGATCTCTAAGATTAATGCATCTCTGTTTTGTATTTGAAAAGAACAGGGAAAGTCAGAAAATAAATGCGACCATTATATAAAGTACTGGTATTAAACTGCCTTCATATTCTGAGTAGGAAAATTAATATCTTTCATAACTTATGGCCTAACAACTGTAAAGAAAATGAGAGGAATCTCACTTATGTCTCCCATCAAGTTTCCTTTAAAAATAACAATTCCAATTTTAATTATAGACTCCTTTCCCTGCTAATCCATCACACCACTCACGGATTAGTTCAGGGGTGAACAAGAAAGTATTGAAATATGTTAATTAAAAACACATTTATAAGTATGCTTTTATAACCAGTGCAAAAATGTATTATCTTGCAGTATTTATAAACTGTTTTTTTAATGCAAAATTCTCTGATTATGCGTGAAGCAAGAACTGTTCTTTCCAATAAACACCCTATTTTATCAATGACAACAGAATTGTAACTCACATGCTAGGTTCAGCTGTAACCATAGTAACTTCAAATAGAGAAGTGCTTCATGATTATCAATATGACCAAAGGTAAGGGAGTTTGTGTAGCTTAGAAATAGCTGTGCTTCAGCAAACCCTGTGAAGGCAAATCTCTCTTCTCAGCTTGAAATATCAAAAGAAGTGCTAATGATACATGAAATGTCTTTGGATTGGAAGGTCACTGCGCAGAATGTGTTAACAACAACAAACTGCCAAAGCTGTGCTTTCCAGTTATTTCTTTGTTGGTGAAGGCAGAAGTCAATTTTTTTGTTGATCTGTCAGCCTTCTGCAAAAATATCTATACTGAAGATCTTTAAATACTCACATATAGGATGCTTTATCTTTATTTCCTTCTTCCTTACAATTGCAGAACTTCTAACTGGTATATTTGCTTACTGTCCTGGTAGTAATATTCTTCATTTAACATGTAAGCATCTACCACCATTTTTACTAGTACAAATAAGAAATTCAATAAAAAAAAACTTCCCCCAAGTCAACTGATCTCTTTTAACAACTTTTGAGACTTAATTGCTATTCACAACCATGGGGAAATTAAAAACGTTTTTGAAATGAATTTATAATCCTGCCATTGTAAAAATTAAATTAAAAATCAGGCAGCATATCTGACAGGAATTTCTTATTTCATTCTAGTACTGTAATTCATTGTTTTACGTACTTTCATGACACCAACAACATTTTACCAGAAACTGCTCTCCATTAAAGCTACATATGATACATAAAATCATTAGACTGATTATTTTATAAGGACTAACACCTATCAGTCCCCAGGAGACCATGTTTTAATTGATCCTGGAGTTTCAGTGAGCTCTTTGTATGGTTTGAGATCAAAATTCACTATCAAATTCTACAACACAGTGAAATATTTTCTGCAATGTCTACCATTAAAGTAAGCAAAAATATTCATTCCAAATTCTATAAGACATGGGTCAGAAATTCACTGGTAAGATTACTTAAACAAGTAACAGCTTAGAATATTGTGAATAGATAACAGAAAATGACTGAGCATTCAGACAACTCTTGGACACACATACGGGCACTCTGTATAAGTGGAAGAATAATGAAAAGTAACATTAATAGCTGATACAGTTAATAGTTACTAGTTACAGAGTTTATTAGCTGGGAAAAGTAATTCTTGTTGCTACTTCTTCCTTGCAGTGAAAGAGTTTCTCTTTCTTTTTTTTTTTTTCTCTCATGACTATTCTAGATTATTCAGTGGTGATTTAATACTATTATAGTCAAAATCACTGTGTTTGTCTTACACATATCTCGTTATAAATCAACATTTTCATTTGGGGATCTAAATAGAGTTGGAATGGAAAATGGGGAAAAAAACTAAGCCAACTACACAACTCTATTCATAGTACAATCAAGAAATGTACTCAGTTGCTTTAAGCAACCTTCTATTCCAGAAGCAATTATTTGTCTTATGTTTAATTTGTGCTTTTAGTTTCTGTGTTCCTCTCTTGCTGTGAAGATGGGCTCCAATCATGGGCTGAATATTATTAAAATAGTTGGGTGGTTTTATAAGTGGCAGCATATTGGATGTTTCATTTAATTTGAGAATAACAATTTGAAGCAGCTTTTACAGCAGTCTTACAACAACAAATAAATTGTTTTACACGATATTTTTAAGCCATCAGAATGATAAATTACAAGCTGTCAAAGTCTTTTGTTAAATATTGAGGTTTCTTTTAATGAATGGAACAAATTTGTGGAACAGTGTTGCTTCTTATCGCTTCTTCTAATAACCATGAATTTGAAAGGTTTTTCATACATTTCTTAGAGAAGCTTGTCAGGAATAGTTAATACTAACACAGCACGCCATGTGCGTCATAAAATGCCTTTTGTTCTATTTCCTTTAACTACTGAACTGAAATTTTGCAAAAATCCAGTGTACCTTTCTATTCTCTTTAATTCATCTCTTTTACACAGTATTCACAGAATCACAGAAATGTAGTGAATCTACCAAAGTAGCTTTCCTAGAGTAGGTTGCACAGGAAATTTTCAGGTGGATTTTGAATATCTCCAGAGAAGGAGACTCCGCAACCTCTCTGGGGAGCCTGTTCCAGTGGTCTGCCACTCTCACAGTAAATAATTTTATCCTCATGTTCATATAAAATTTAATGTGCTCCAGTTCTCACTCATTGCCCCTTGTCCTGTTGCTGCACATGACTGAAAAAACATCTGCCCCATCCATTTGACTTTCACTCTTTACATATTTATAAGCATTGATAAGATTCCCTCCCACACTTCTTCAGGCTGAATAGTCTCAGGTCTCAGCCTTTCCTCATATGGCAGATGCTTCAGTCTCCTATCATTTTTGTAGCCCTCTGCTGGACTCTCTTCAGTAGTTCCCTGTCTGTCTTGAACTGAGGAGCCCTGAACTGGACACAGTATTGCAGATGCACTTGAATGCAGCCTCAGCAAATTTGCTGATGACCTACCAAGCTGAGTGGTGCAGTTGATGCATTAGAAGGAAGGGATGACATGCAGAGGGACCTCAACAACCTCAAATGGTGGGCCCAAGTGAAGCTAATGAAGTCCAACATAGCAAAGTGGAAGGTTTTGCAATTGGGTCAGAGTAATCCCAGATACGTATTGGTGGGAGTTGTGGATCCCAGATACATAAAAGGGTGGGAGAAGAACTCTTTGAGAGCAGCCCTGAGGAGAAGGACCTGGAGGTCCTGGTGGATGAAATACTGAACATGAACCAGCAGCATGCTGTTGCACCATGGAAGGGCAATGGTATCTTGGACTCAATCAGAAAAGGGGTGGCCAGCAGGGTCAGGGAGGTGATTGTACTTCTCTGCTCTGCCCTTGCAAGGCCCCATCTGGAGTACTGTGTCCAGGTGTGGGGCTCCCAGTACGAGAAAGATGTGGAGCTGTTGGACAGGGTACTCACCAGGGCAGAGCAAAGGAGGAAGATCACCTCCTTTGCTCTGCTGTCCACATTCTTATTAACTCACCCCAAGACACCATTGGCCTTGGCCATAAGGGCACATTGCTGGCATATGGCTAATCTGTTGTCCACCAAGAAGCCTAAGTCCTTTTCTGTATTGTACAGAAGATATCAGAACGTTATCTTTTCACCTCCTTTTTCACTGTGTTTCCAGAAATGCAAAAAGCAGTACTTTATTCTAGTGCCAGAGTACTGAGTATAAACTTATTCTGTGTAACTAAAACTTGCTAAGTCTATGAATAACTTTGAGGTCAGCTCTGCTTTAATTATTAAGGTGGATAGTAAGATCTCTAGAGTTCTCTTTGAATCTAAATGATTTTCTCATTTTAAAACTCCAAATTTCAGATTCAAATTTTGAATCTATTTCTCTCACACTTGGATGCTTACTGTAACTTTAGGCTTTAAATCTAACATCTGGAAGCTCATGTCAACATGTTGGCACCTATCTTCTCAGAATTGTATTTACCATGCAATACTGCATTCAAATTTTAAACTGATTCCTTATAAAAACATTTATACAGTGAGATCTGAAAGCTAGCTCCCTGTACCTTTAAACTGGGTTAGATCACACATTTTATAAATGATCTGGATGCAGGACTTGAATGCATACTAAGTCTGCAGATGATACTAAATTAGGAGGAGCTGTTGATTCACTTGGTGATTGAGAAGCCTTGTAGACAGATCTTGACAAATCTGGGCAATCACCAACTTTATAAAATTTAGCAACACCAAGTGCCAGATTCTGCATCTGAGATGGGGCATCCCTGGATGCTTGCACAGAGTGGAGGATGAGATTTTGGAGAGCAACTCCACAGAAAAGGATCTGGGGTTTTGATTGACAGCAAGTTGAATCTGAACCAGCACTATGCCCTGGAGTCCAAAGGGCCAGCTGCACTCTGGAGTGTGCCAGGCCCAGCAATAGACAGACAGGTGTCTTGAGAACTTGAGAAAAACGTTATTTCAGTCACTTCAGCAACTGCATTTATAAGGTTTGCGAACTTAACATAGGTAAACCAGTTACTAAAACAATTTGCACTAGGGATCTTTGGAGGCACTCTGTCTTATGATGATCAGAATATCAGATATTTATCGACTAGAGGAATCAAAATCAAGAAGAACTTACAGTTCAAACATTTTGATAGCATATACAGACATCATTTTCTTATTTACTCTTCTGTGTTTTGAAAATAAGTGTTACCTGGATCTGTGGCAGACATCAGCGATCCAAAAAATAAACAGTCAGTGAAGTGGAATTCCCATCCTTTTAACTGGCCAATGTGCACCATGGCCTTCACAAAACCATACATTATCAACCTGTCATAGGAAAGACAAGACAGTCGTGAAGACACAGTATATAACACTTCTGCTAGTTTCACAGCATTAAGCAGTTTCTTGTTCTCTTCAGCTTCCTTTAAATAACCGTACCATTTGAATAACAAACATAAACTACTGTCATAAAAATTCTATTTCCTATTAAACTATTCCAGCACCATATCAAGCTTTATAGACAGTTCAAGTGCAAAGACTTTTATGAATAATTGCCCTCTGCTGTTGGCAGAGGACAATACTTCAAGTTGTTTATTTTTCAGAAGGAAAGATAATGTAAGCCTAAAAAGACATTATCAAGACAGATTTGCCTAATGTTATAGAGCCTTTACACAAAGACAGTGATAATCAGCTGTGTGGTTTGTTCTAGCATTTTTAAGTTAATCATCTTCATTGCCATTAGCTTTTAATGTTGCATTCCACATTCCTGACGAGTTTTTAAATGAGGCAGACGTTTCACAGCTCACAGTGTTTCACAGTGAGGCAACAAAGTCACACTTCAAAATGCACTGCTAAATCTCCCATGGATTCACACAAAGTGTTATCAGTGGTTTGTATCATTCATTAATAATTTCAGAGATGTGCATTCTAAGAATAACATTGAAATATCTTTAAAAATAAATTTACTTATTGTTAAAAACTGTAGTATATATATATTTTTAAATGTATATTTCTGATCTAGTTAATATGTAACTCACTCCAAAAGTAATGGCTCCTATTTATTTTCATGGAAACTACAACTGCTACAAGGAGTGCAATAACACTGTTTGAGAGAGCAAATTTTCAGCTACAAAAACCTAAAAATAGGGAAACAGGTCATCATAGAATTCCCCAGTGGTCAGAAGTATTTTTGGACTGTTTGAGAAACTGCTGGAAAATCATTTAATAAGTTTGCCATAATACAATCTGCTTACTATTAGTGAATTTGATTTTACCTCATTGCACTTATCTATACTTATCAAAAGCTGAGCATGTAACATTATTAGTTTTTTACAGATTTACTTTTTAAATAAAAATGCTTTAGTTAATCTCCATTAGAAATCAGATCCTTTTCTCAACTTCATAGGGTAAAACTAAGAAAATATCCTCTTACATCACAGAAGTTACTCTGTATCTTGGAGTGCTCAAACCAAGGTCAAGCTCTAACCCTGTGCATTCCAGCTGATTTTTTACTCAGAATGGATTATTCAAAAATGCCAGCTTTGCTTTAACATTTTATTAGCTGATATTGTTCAGGTGCTGCAGTTTAGTGTAGACAAATTCAAACAATAAAGCAATTTATCTATGACAAAAGCTAACAACAAATCTCTTTAGAGAAAGAATTAATCCAGTGTGACTTTTCCACTACATTTTTAAAACTGGGATCTCATCTGGATATTTGAGCTTCCAACTACAGCAACATCAAACATCATAAAATGCTGCACGACATAACTGCTTTTAATGGAAATCCAAGGAGATAAGCATACACCAGTGACAAGCTTCAGCAAATCAAATTGCCTTAATAATCTTCAACAGTCTGTTTAGTATACATTTAAAATAGAAGCATTATTAAAGTATCAGTTATAAAGTTATAAATAAGGTGTTAGTGCTCTTGAATTTTCACCAGAATGTTTCTTTCCCACTGGATTACATTCCCAGTCCACACCACACTGTTTATGAAGAGTAGGCTGTTGACACAGATCAAGTTATCAAACAATATAAAACAATACTTCTGTTTTTCCAGTTTCTATCTGTCAAATAATCTTTGTTACTAATCTATAATGCTGACTTTGTATCAGAACTGAGATCTCCAGGGCTCCATAAAGAAAATAGAAGACCAGCTGCAACTAACATAGCATATTTCCAATATAGCTTTGAAAATCTTGCCTTTAAAATATACTTGCAACATAATTCATATGCTTCTTAGATCATGTTTTTAATCTACTTCAATCTTGTAGATTCTTTGGGAAAGTGGATGCCCCTTCAAGTATGAGATCTTTCTCTCTGTGAGCAGTACTTTTCTGATAATAAACATTATAAAGTAAATGCATATAAGTTTCTGGATTTTGCATTTTTACTGTGAAATATGCACCATTTAGAACTCTCTATTAGTCACTTGAGATATCATTCCTCTTTTTTCCCATAGCAAAGAAGCATGTATAGTTCCATGGAACAAAATAATAAGCAACAGATCTAAGAGACTTAGACACAAGACTCTTATGTTGAGAATAGGAAACCTCAGAGCTGCTGCCTAGAACCCTTATTTTCATCAGTAAAGCTCCTTAACTCCTTACCAGTCTTTGAGGGGTGAAGAAGGTTTTCCAGCGCTGTGTAATGAAGGTACTGCTTGTTCAGAGATCTTTTTGCATTCCTGATCTCGTGAATGAACTGTCTTGCCACAGAAGTCGTTAGAGAGTTGCCAGGCACAAAGGTCAATGGTGAATGAAAAAGGGATAACTCCACTTTGCAGTCCCCTTTTCCTCAGCTTTCTGATACATAAGGTGTGTGAGCCCCAGGTTCAAACTCCTGCTTCACCTGGTTAACCTTCATTTTCACTAGAAAGGGAGCCGAAGAGAGACTCCAGGTTCCTAGTGCCTAAAAGCTGCTTCACCTAGCTTAGCATTAGCCATTATTCATTAAATTAGACAGCTGGGAAGTGTATGAATATGTAAGTTTGATTTAGTAACAGATGACCTTGGTGCTCATCTTATGTAAGGGAAAATCTGAGCATGAGGCTACCACACATTGACGTCTAATTCTTTTCTCCACTGTTCTTTTAGCTTTGTTTAGGTAATTTGAAGATGTGGATTTTGCTAGGTGACAAAGTGTCTCAATCCATATATGTTTTGGATCCTATTAAAGGAACAATGTACAATCATTATTTAGCAGGGAATTTATTTTGGGTTGCCTTCCCCTCTTATCGTGAATAAATACACAAATTCATCAAATTCCTTGTATGACCTGATTAGAAAAATATTTTAGAAAAAAAAGGTCTGTAAGCTGAAAAGTAATGAATGGTCGCTGAAGACTTCTCAGACTCAGTGGTGGCTCACTGCTGCAAACAATACTTGTGGATAACTGATTTGGTCAATGATTTGGAATATAAAGAAATACAATAGAAGAAAAAAACTCAGCTGTACTGTGGGAGACCTGACACTTTCTGCACCCAACATAATATTATTTGAAAGCATGGAGAGTATCACATCAAGCCAGAACATGTATTTTTTGGCATTTAATAGAAAAGGGGAAAAACAGAAATGTGAATGAAACACAGGAGAATTTAGAATTTTCCAAATTATGCAAGACTGGCAATTACAAAGTGCCTCAGCTCTAAAATATGCTACACACAATGTTGTCATTGCACAGAAGAGGAAACACCACATAAATATTTGACTTGAAGTCAGAATCATTTTCTGGGAAACTGAGCTTTCATTACAAGTATTTCTGGTGTTTCTTGTTCTGGCGTTTCTTGTTTCTGAATAAACAAGTAGACCACATGAAATCTCGGTAGAACACAAAATAAACTTCAGACTTAAAAAAAAAAATCAAAGTAAATAACAGTTACTGAAGAACCAGAACAACAATTCTTGCAGTTCTAAGCATCTGGCCTGCATTAAAGCTTACCTGTGTGAATAAGGGGGAAAAATATGTTTGTTAGAGGTCCAGTTGATTGGGTTCTTTTGTTTGTTTGTTTTGCTTTGCTTTGTTTTTTAACTGCCAGAGTTCAGTTGCTACAAATCTTTTTTTGCTGTTCCTTCAAGAATGAAGTATGTAGAGAGCATTGGATGTCTGGGTAATCCTGGATGTTTACAGAGAGCTTATGAATACAGCTGCTCTCAAGGAAGTCTAGTCTGGGACTGGGACATTCTAGACCAGCTGCTGTTTAAATGTAGAGGAAGGAAAGAGCCCTCTCCTAAGGAGAAACTATTTAAATGCTCAGGAAAAGCTGCACATAACTATTTGTTTGCAAGATTTTCTTTTAGCAACAGCTGGTTTTAAGAAATCATGTGAAAAGAGATACTGAAATTGCTTTGGGGGTTTTGGGCAAGCTCTGAAAGTTCTGAATATTAAAACATCTGCCCAAAACACAGTTAGTAAATAAGAAATTATTTGTAGTTTTACAGTAAAAGCCAGCAGGGTGTGTTTTATGTAGAATTGAAGGAGGCTATAGGAAAGATTTAAAGCTGTCAGCAATTTTAACAGAAGCGTTGTGAATAGCCACAAATGGGGTCAGATTACATCAGGGAAGGCATGAGAAAAAGATACTGGAGTCATCAAGACAGGAAAGATGTGCGCCTGGCAAGAGTTTGGCTGTATGAGTGGACAAGAAAGGCTATATAAGAAGCATGTCAATAAGCAGCACACCTAATAACTAAACACTTAACAAAAGGTTTTACCATGCCTAAATGCAGCTGGCAAATAGCAGCAAGTTACCAGCACATCTGGATATGCAAAACCACTGGATATGGGGTCCAAAAACACTGTGGAGAGGGACAACATATGCATGAACAGCAAGCAAAGGAGAGAACAATGTGACAACAACAGGCAGAGATTGCCACTGACAGAAGAACCTTGTCACACCCCTAGTTTTATCCATTTTGATCTTCTAAGAGCAAATAAATTGTTTCCATCTTAAGTTTCTATCTTCATTTAGAAAGCACAAAAGCAATGGTTGCTACTTCAGGTGAAAACCTTCTGCAGAATCACTGTCAAACATCTGACGTTGTGGTAAAAGCAATTCACCCATACTAGTCTCAGGTACATACAGAACAGGCTGAAATAGCAGAATCACAAAGATCCAAATGAAGAAAGACAGGAAAAAGCAGGAGCAACTACCAAATATGGTCCCACGATGCAGCAGATGATTCATACAACATAAGCACACAAAGAAAATCAGTATTCTGCTTGCTCATATTTCCAGAGATGGACTCTGAGAAGCAGTGCTGTCACTGAACTTTGACCCAGCCTGCTATGCAAAAGTATAGGTTTGTTTTCTTTGCACAAGGTAG